TGGAGTCCCACAGGGAGAACACGGTTCGGCATCACTACATGGACAAAGGAATCAAGTTTGTCATCAAGAATTGGCGACCCGAAGACCTACGCAGAGACGAGGATGGACGGAGAATGAGGGTATGCCCGGCATGCTACAACATCGTTCCAGCATGTTTCTCCCGATGCACGTCTTGCTGGTCACAGTTCGTTTCGAGCGGATATTACCAAGGTTCTCCACAACGGGAGACTCCTACGGAGATCCCCAGTGACTTCATTGCTCAGACAATGGAAGCCGCAGCAGCCGCAGTGCCTGAGGCGCCCGAAGAGGAGCAGGAAGCCATGGAGGTAGAGACCGTTGCGGAACCTGAGGAAATCCCAGAACCATCTGTCATCGCGGAGGACGATCCAGAACAGGAACCTGATGAAGAAATGGACATAGAGCCAGGAGAGGACTTTGATGACGCAGTACCAGAAGCAATTGCACAGGAACGTCGTCCCGTCTTCGTTACCGGCCAGTCTTTGAACATCGATCCTGAGCTACAACTTGCACGTACCGCCATGCAGCCATCCTACTATTCTGGAAAGCGAAATGCCCATTGCATTGACGCGAACATGACCGCTCTTTCGTACATGGCATACGTGGTATGCAGATCCATCTACAAGGCTTGGTCAGGATTCGCAAAGTGGGCGACTATGCCGTTGTTCCAGATGAGGGAAAGTTTCGCACTTGGCCAACGCTATGATGTGCTCGGAAAGTGGGGATCTTTGGCGGCAGTGGATAGGGAAACGGGTGTGAGCAAGGATGTGACTGATGAGGAGATCATTCGCTTTGCCAAGGAACCTGAGAACCTCAAGCAGTATGATCCCAACGGGACTTACACCTTGAAGCGCTTCCGGACGAACCAGATGCTTTCGTTGCTTACACGGGGAGCCAACATGATGGGAAGTGGCAGGGACAACTTCAACCCTACTACTTACCTGAAGAGCGAAAGGGATGAAGATGTGAAGGCTATGCACTTTTGTTGCCTGAACGTCCTGTGCGAGGTGATTCCAATGGTGACGGGACACCAACAATTCTCAGTGCTACGACCAACGCCAACTGGACCGGTGGACTTCTTGTACATCGACCCCGTCGGTATCCTGCTGACTCATTCTGATCAGTCAGTCCAGACCATCGGCTTGCTGGTGGACCACAATGTGCAAATGCCTGCGCATTTCATGGACAGATTGAACAGATCCAAGGCTGAGAGACAGCAAAACCCGACGACCAAGCGTACTGAAGCCCTACACCACATTTCGGCCGCTGACTATCTCCCTCCAGGTGGTACTTCCATCCTGGACACGCCTGTCACTACGGAGGAACGTGAAAGCGCTTCTTCGGCCAAGGGACCTTCAAAAGGGCGTGGGAGAACCGGAGGTGAGCAGCATGGAGGCTGGAACTCCAACTCCTACTACGACTACACCGCCGGCAAAGGCCGAAACAAAGGCAAGGACAAGGGAAAGCATCGGGAACAGTATCCAGAGGAAAACCTCCGGCCCTGGGACCGCGATCCTGCGACCACGCGAAGATGGAGATGAATCAACGCTTGGTCTTCCTCGCCTATCAGTTCGTGACCTCTGAGCTTCGCCCATGGAATGCCATCGCGAATGCTTCTTTCTTCGGTGACGCCTGATTCGTTTGTCATTTCAGGGGATCGTTACTGACGTAGATGAGTGTCACAACGTTTCTAATTGGGATGCAAAGCTCTGATTTTCAATGTCAACGTTGCGGCGGAACATTTTCTGTTGTCCTATCGTGCCATCTTCCGGGTGAGCAGCGTCGGAGACGCAACTCATGGGGGGTGCGAACGGACTGCGATGCCTTGTCAAGTTCTAAGGTGTCACTATAAGAGCTGTGAGCAAGACCGTGTAAAGTGCAAGAGAAGGGGGCACGCTACGCGTCCCTCGACTCTAAGGGGGCATGCTACGCATCCCTCATCTTTACCTTTCTATGTGACCGCCAACGCAACGTTTGGCTCAAGTCAATGCCCATAGCTAAGTGCTATATGTGTCTTCTATCCTGAGCAATCAGAGCTATCCCGTTGCACAGACGAACCGCCGCCGGCAGTGAGTGCAAAAGGAACGGCCGCCGGTTCTGCCTGCATAGGATTGCACGTGTGGAAGTAAGAGGGAGAGACAGGGTCCAGTCTGTGGAGAGTGCAAGCCAGCCACACCTACATTCATTACAGCTCTGGTGGGGAGAGCAGCAACCAAGTCGAGATCAATCCCCCACGCAGATAACCTTTCAACGAGCCCAAGATCTGAGAACCCATCATAAAGAAGCAGCCTATTGGGTAGGGCCTTTCTAGGAGTGATCCAGGAGTCGAAGAGAATAACCGGAAGAATACCACAAACCTCGAAAGAATTTCGTGCAGGTGACCCTAGGTAATACGTTATAGAATACCCCCTATATACCTCATATATACCTTCTTGAGTACCCTATAGCCGTATAGCCTATACATTAGGTTAAAGAATACGTTCTATAAGATAATCTTTACGTTCATGTTGATGCCTTGCACAACCCCTTATACAATGCGTTATGGAGTACCCGATAGAGAGCCCAAAACAACGTTACATACTTGGCCTTTTATAGGCCTTGTAGAATATCATCTGCAATCCCCTACAGACTAGCTTACAGAATATACACAATGTCTATGATACCCTCTGAGTACCCCATAGGAAGTCCTGAAGATAACCCTATGGAATATTCTATAACATACCCGTAAAATGCACCATAGAATGCCTTGTAGAATACTTTATAGATAACGGGTTAATGGGAGGAAAATCAGGAGCACAAAGCTCTGCGCTATACCTGCAATGTGCCCAATGAAGAAATCAAAAACAAGAGCATATAGAACACCTTACACGATAATCCTTCCTTACATCTTAAAGAATTTCATATAGATACCCATAGATTATAGAAACTTTTTATGCCTTTACGAATCTTGTTGAATACCCGCTGGTGATTTCGCCAATATTTACAGACCAAAGAATGAACGCTCAGCTTGACTAAGATGTTCTCCACCACTTGCCATCATTTTGAAAACCGTTCACCAACACGAAGCACTCGAGATCCTGGTAAACATGTTCGGCACATAAAGCACAAGCTTCATGAACAAGTGACATAAGGAAAAAACATTACAAAAAAGCTTAAAAATGCGAACACGTGCCATCGGGTAGGTAGGCGACAAACAGTTCGTTTCTGTAGGATCTGTAGGCACGGCTTGGTTTTGAGGTTCTTCACGAGAGAATATGTGTTCAGTTTAGGAAGCATTATGAGCATCAGCATCGTGTAAATAAGTTGAACTCAGACACGACGTGTAAAGTCTTAAATCTCTGCGATCATCTCGTCGGGAAGCGACGACGCGCGCTCAAACACCGCATCCATATGTCCCGATCGAGAATACAGAACGCAGAATGTGTAAACTGAGCACTTGGTTTCAAACAGCTTCAGACAGTGTGCCCGGAGCCGAACGGAAAAACCTAACTGAAAAAGCCTAACTGAAAAAACCTAACTGAAAAAACCTAAAAAACTTAAAAAACCTAAACTCGGGAAGTCCTGCAAAGAGATATCCATGACAAGACTCTCGAGATTTAGGTTTTTTAGGTTTTTTAGGTTTTTCCAGTTAGGTTTTTTCAGTTAGGTTTTTTTCAGTTAGGTTTTTTCAGGTAGGTTTTTTCAGTTAGGTTTTGTCAGTTAGGTTTTTCAACTAGGCTCCCTAAACCCCCAAACCCTTGCCCTGGGCCCTTGAAGAACAACTGTGTAACGACGTTGTCGACGGCGCGTACATGAAGCCAACAAACGGTGGATCCATGGGGGGGGGGGCACCATATATATATATATATATATATATATATATACATATGTATTAAGATATATTCAGTTTTTTCTTAGTATATTTTGGACAAAATAACGGCCCACCATCCGTCATTCGGGGCGTTGTGGGCTTTTGGGTAGGCATTTGGACTATGCCTGCTTATATCGGGTTGACAAAAGGTTGCGCGTCCACTGGGCAAATTTTGCCCAAACAGTATGTTACTGCATCAGTAGGAACTCTTAAATGTAGAGTACATGGATGGAATGTTCAAGGCACGTTCACAACCGTTCTGCAGCTCCCGTTGTGGTGCGACGCACACACTGCCATGGTTCCATGCCGGCGCCGTCTGCCAGGAACTTCGAATGCTGTATAAGTCAAACACTTCAGCACCATGTTGGCCTTGAGTAACCTTCATGTGTCGTAATTAGACTTTACCGGACCGTTGGGTTCTTCCGCTTGGTCTCACAATCAGAGTCGCTGGAGCCGGCCTTCAAAGTGCTCGGAGTGTTGTGTCTTGGCAGCGCCACACTATTCGGCCTGTCCGGGGCTCTTTGCTGTGGCGCTGCCAAGTTATGCTTGGTCTTGGAGGTGGCCGGGCCTAGTGCTCTTCTCTGCTTATGTATTGGCATCTGTGCTGGCATCATGAGAAGCACCCCAAACAAGCCTTTCACTAGAGCTTGCAACAGTGTCAATGATTTTGCAAGAGGCCGATAGGGAAAGCGGCTGCAATGTTAGAGAATTTTGCAAAGACCCGAAGACAGCTGTAGAGCCCCCGCCAAATGCCGAGGCTGGCACCTGGCGGAATAGGGAATATCGGAATATCCGAAAATCCCAGCTTTGGACTGGACGGCAGGGTTTTAGCACATTGACTGTCGCTCCGGCGCCTTTTTGTTTGTGGACTCCTGCGGTTGCGCAGTGCTGTGGGCCAAGGCAAGAGCGAGCGGGTGAGGGAGTGAGGGGCACACACACACACACACACACGCACATCTCACGTACTTACCCGTGGTCATTCTTGACCAAGCAACACCGTCGAAGTCTTGAAACCCCAGAGATCGAAGTTCTCAAGCCCCAGATGGGCCGACTGAGGCTTTTCCACCTTCCTTGAAACTGCGGGGGTGGCTTGTTGAGAACACAACATGTCACATGTCTCTTGACATCCCAGGACCAAATTGTAGTTCGGCAGATGAAGGCTCGATCCGAGACCGTGGCGCGATACTTGACTGCCAGGGGCTACGGCTGCTTTGAGGGTGGAGGCTGGAACATGTCCGTGTTTGCACATGCTCTTGACCCACAACCTAATCATCACGTAGCTATGAGGGTGATTGGTTTGTAAGGTTTCGGGCTCAGGGCTGCCAACCTGAACGACGAAAACTGGGATTAGTGGAATTACGCAACAACCCAGCAGATGACTTCCATTTCGTGGTGGGCTGCATGAAGCTGCCGTTGCCAAAATCTGCTTTGGTTTCAAGCCAAGTCCAGCAGAAATCGGCTTTGAAACCACCACCTTCGATCAGCTCCGTCTGCATGCTTGTGCCAGTTTATCCGCCTCATTTCCGTGCCCTCGCAGCACGAATGGAGATGGTCAAGAGAACAAACACTGGCCCGCCCGTTAAGTCGGTCGTTGTGTTTGGAGATGATGTGGAGTCTGACGACTTCTGCTCAAGGCACAGGGCCAGATGTTTCGACGAGGATTTCCACCCTCTGCTGCTGGAGGACTTGCTGGGCTCCGCAGCACATGCGAAGCTAAAGAGAAGGCTGCGGTTGCAATATCTGCCAGCAAACTTTAAATACAGCGGGGAGAGGCATGGTTGCTTGGCGAAGTCGGCTGGGCGCATTTACCAAGCCATAAAGAAGTTTTATGGCGTGGCTTACAGACCTTCTGAATGTCAGACGTACTGGGTTTCTGATGCCGAGTCTGTGCCCTTCCGAAAGCACAATCTGACAGAGCATTTGGCTCTGAACTCGCGGTCCCCGAGAATCGTAGTGAGCACTTGGCACGATGAGCCAGACTGTGCTAATGTGGCTGCTGACGATGGGACGGACCAAGCCTGTGCCATCATGATGACGAACCAAACGAGTCTCGGCTGTGCTTCGGACATAGTCGCAAAGTTGCGTATCTATGTTCAATTCTCAGAGACGTCTAAAGCTATGATCCTCATCAGTCAACGAAGGAATGGCATGCGCTTTAGGAACGATGATGCGCAGTCAGTATGGACACCTGGTCGATGGAAGAAAGTCTTTCACAACGTGGACCAGTGGTGGTATTACGACCGCACCGTGACAGCAGAGTGGCTAGACTTCTTAGCAACTTCAACAGGTATGCCTGCCTGGTCAGTCTTTGGGTTTTATGATGTATCTGACATGTCCGTGTATGGCATGATGATGCATTGGTCTGCATTCTATGCTCACCCAGGCCGCACTGAAGTCGTGAATATCAGAGCAGAAATCCGGAAGGTCGATCCTAGCGCCTTCAGCAAGTGCTGCAAGTGTTCGCAAGCAGCGACGGGTCCGGGTCTACCTGGCCCAGGCCCCCCCCCGATGCTCAACGGCCGTTAAGCTGTTTCAGGGCTGCCTGACAGTAATCCCTCTCGAGCGACGCTTGGAGATCGTCATCGAGCGGCTGGGCTTTTTTGGCTTCTCAAATTACAATCGTTTCCAAGATATCCCGGATTTCGCATACAACACGCTGACAGATGCAAAGCACGGTTTGCACTGGTGCTACATCAACTGTTTCAAGATCGATGCAATGCGTAAGATGCTGCGCTTGAAAGATGTCGATCTTCACGGAATCTATCAGCAGAGGGAAGCTTTCACGCAGACCAACGTGTGAAGGAAGCTACTCACGAAAAGGTCCGAGGGCATTTGCTCAAAGTCTGGACATACTTCAAGGTGCCTTTTTGGTTCCTTCTTTCCATGAGCTCGAGCTCCCTAAACTCGTTGGCCCGAGAAGACCAAAACACCCTGGACTCCCAAAATCGGGAAAAAATCGGGAAGGCCTCGAGTCCTCGAAGCCCAACCCAAATGTAGTAACCTCAAGAAGTAGCTCCTGCTTCACAACCCGCCAAAAAGCATGATGCATGTTGAGGGGGCCCGAAGGCGGACCCGGACCTCAAGTCGTTGAATCGAAGTTCGCCACACGCAATGCTGCGACCCACAACAGACGAACAAACAAAAGCCTAGACACTGGCATGAACAGCCGCAAGGCTACAAGCCTTGAAGGCCTTTAGCCCGAAACCCTAATCCAGCCTTTCCCGACTTCGACCCCAAACCTGAAAGCCACCCTGGCCCGCGACTGAAGGAAAGCTCAAAGGTTTGGAGGGCTGAGGTTCGAGGCTTTGGGTTTCACTTTGTCGGACTTGCATTTTAGGCTTTCGGGTCTGGGGAATTATAAGGCCTACATTAGGGTTCACAAATTGGATTTGGGGTTTAAGGCAAAGCTCGAAATCTGCGAAGCAGGACAAGGGCAGCAGAGCCGAGGTGTGACGTCTCGGAGCTTGTCTGATGGGTTAGTGTAGGGCTTAGGGTTTTTGATAGCTTCAGCATATAAACTCTGGACATCATCCTGCATCTTCGCCGCAGATTTCCTTTCAACACCGACAAACCCCCAAATCGAAAATCCTAAGCCCTAAGCCCAAAGCACCCCCAAAACGTGTTCGTCTCAGAACCTTATCGAAATTCTCGAAGCTTCCCAGCTCAAGGTCGTGATCCTCGGTGCCGGATCTCTCGCAGCTTCCCGGGCTCTCCGCGAAGCCGAGGCTGGCTTCAATCCTCGACATCTGGCCCCCGGATCGTCGGCTCAAGGGCTTTTAGGGCCGCCCCAGGGTTTTGGAGGTTAGGCCCTTGGGAGTTTCGCTTGAATCATTGAAGAGACTTAGGACTTGAGGTCTTTAGGGCTTTGGGTTCAGGGCGTCGGACTCAAGGCTTTGAGTCTTAAAGCTTGGAGTTTTTAGTGGCCTTGCGTGTTCCAGGCAACCTCCATGCTTAAACTGCCCTGATTACGTGAAGATTGTTTATTCAAGGTATCGAGGCTCTCGAAATTTTGCGTGCCGCCAAAGCCCTGGCTCCTGAGACTTTCCTCTGCCCTCTGTCTACCCTCGCTGCCCAGCCCTCGCCCACCCCTAAACGCCACAGGCGCGACAAGAGCCGCAGTCATAGACCCCAGTACGGTAAACTCCTGCTCTGAAACCGCAGGAGCTCTTTGTGGACCTTTCTGAGGCCTGTGAATCCTTAGTCCCCCAAATGCAGGTCGCCACCTCCTTGGCATTGGTTGAGCCCTCACCTTGCTTGGCTGCCGCCGCAGACTCGCTGCTGGACACCACGGGGTGGGGGTGCAGGCCAAGTGCGTCTTCGGGCTTGGAGTTGGAACCGTCGCAGAGACTTTGCAGGAGCTTCCGAAGACTTTCAGCTTTTAACCTACAAGCACGAGTCTGCTTCGTAGATGTTTCGCACACCTTGGTTACCGCATTGAACAGAACTCGATCATCCGAGGGAAAAATGGGTTTAGCATCGAAAGCTCAGAGTTGCTTTATGCCGTCATTGGCATTGTTTCGAGTTCAGTGTGAACCAGGGCTAAAGACTACACGGTGGACACCTTGATCCCAGATTGAGCAGGACCACAAAGCGGCCGCGGTTCAGTCGTCGGGTCAGCTGGATACAGGCTACATGTGAGATCAGTTTGGGGGGGTTTAGCGATCATTCGGAATCATTTGGAGGTGCAGCGAGAGTTCAGGTTTTGGGGTTCCGTCACTTTGTTGATTGAGCGTGTCGACCTTCTGCGGCATCGTGTGTAGTTTGATCGCGGTCGCTATCTCAAGCTCCCATGTTCCCCGTGGGCAATACTCCGGGCTCATTGTGTCCGTGCTTGGGTTTACAGGTTGATGTGCTGGACAAGGTCAGGTGCCCAACCTTCTTCCGACCTTTGAAGTTCAGCCATGCCACAACTTTGCTTAGAGTCATGTTTGAACATCCTGGACCATGGTCCTAAGCTTATGCTTCACCGCCAAATGAAGCTGTGAATCTGAAGAGACATGCATGTACGGACATATGTACTTGCATGTGCATGTAGCTTATTATCTACGGCTAGATCCTTCAATCGTTTGCGTCCACGCTTCAGCGCATCTGCGGTCCACGTCGCAGCGGACACTCTTTGCTTTAGAACGGCATGGGATGGCCGTCATGTCTTCGGAAACACCTCAGCACAAAACAACTATGGCCAGGTTTCGCGATTCCTGCTGCCGCCTTTGCTCATCCGCATCCCCAAGAAACGGCAACTTGCCTACTGGTGTGCCTCAGAGAGCAAATAGCCACATCCAAAAGCCCAGGAAAACACATGAAGCTAAGACGCCGCGTGCGCTTGTCGCCTTTCTACGGACAGCGGGGGCCGCTTCCGGAGTAGCTGAATTGGCCATTCTTGAGGAAGAAAGTGGGACGGAAGGCAGAGCATACAATGCCTGATCTTCGCGGCACGATGCTGATGCATGCCCACACTGAAGCTGCTCCTGCATCCCAATGAAGCTTGAACAGAGCACTTGACGCACCGATGGCAGAAAACTCGATAGGGCGTTGGAAGGGCTTCAAGGTTGAGGTGTGAGACGCTGCAGCTGATATGGCGGGGTCGGATACAAGGAAGCAGCTTCTTACTCTGGGCTCCGGTACAGAAAGGCAGATGGCCTTGACTGCTCTGCGAATCCTTCAATATACCTGAAACTAAGCGTAAGCCCTTCAAAGCAGATCTCACAGCTCAATGCTCTGAACATGGACATGACTGATTCAAGCCATGTAATCAAGGGACCTTCGATTCGCTTTCGTCAGAGGTGTGATCGGCTGTCGGACGACTTACTTGGCGAGCGTCTTGTGGCCACCATGAAGGTGTCTCGGAAGCAGTTTAGGGTTTAGGGTACGCATGGCCAATGCATGGGTGGTAGCCAGAACTTTGGACGCTAGTACCCGCACCGCAAAACGCCCACCCCGAACAACACACATGCCTGCTCGTACCTGTATTGCTGTGACGACCGCTACCCGTTACCTCTCAGCGTTAGTGGAGGAGTTGTCTTACTATGTAGAATGAGACACAGGTCTTGTTCTTGTTATTGCAGGTTAATCAATGTCTATTTCAGCTTGTGCTGTTCATGTGCTTACATGGGTGGTTTCCACAGCTTACATAGCGCGCCAAGAGATTGTGATAGTGGCCACCAGAACAAACCCCAAAAAAGGCCTTGCTGATTCGGAGAACCCCGCTGCGTGACGTGTTCGCTCCCTCTGAGACCATAAGTGACTCTTTAGTTTGTCTTGTTGGGTTTAGTCGGCAATGCTCGAATGCCTCCCGAGGCCCCTGCGGGCATAGGCCTTCGGATTTATGTTGCAGGTTTCAGGTTCCAGGGGGTTGAATGATGTAGGTCATTTACAAGAACCTTCCCAAAGAACAGGCCGGCATGGATGTGGCCAAGCGGACATTTGAGAAGGTGCTGTGCTTGCCAGGCATGGTGGGTAGGGTCGAACTGCTAAGCCCGAAACGCTTCTTTCTGGGCTGTATCTAGGCCTTTATGTACGGTTTCAGATATTGAAACTCTGAAACATGAGGGCGTTCTCCACAGTTCAGGTTTGGGGGATAGAGAGCATCCGTTCTTTTCGATGCGGGCTTCCGGCTGGAAGGGCTTTTGGGTTTCTGGGCTCGGGCGTCAGGAGGCAGGCTACACCGTCCAGGGTTATGCGGATCAAATTGTATCTGCTGCTACGCGGCAGTGGACATGCAGGGCCTGAAATTGTGAAAGTTAGAAGTTGCTTTGGATTTGGATTTTCAGGGATTGAAGGCAGGGTTGGGAGCTAAGCCCTTTCCCGGAAGTGTCCGCAAAGAGCTGACCACAGCTGCACTTCGCCCGGGCTTCTCTGCCAAGCTCAAACCAGCCGAAGCGTGGTCATCCTTTGCATCGCTCTGCTTTGGCTTTCCGTGGCTGAAAACTTCGCAAGGTACCTATGCCTGAGCTTCCCTCACGCTAAGCTGTGCGCGCCAGGGATTCCCTCTGCATGCCTTGAGCTGTACTTGTCGTCTTCTGCTGAACGGAAGTCTGTGAGGTATCTCAGTCGCGAGCTACAGCCTGCAGCGCTGCTTAGAGCAGTAGTTATCCATATCACTGCACCTTGCAGCCCGGCGCACTTTGATTTGGGGGATCTGGATCTCCAGCCCCGCCACCAAGTTGCTCGATAATCTTAATCTCATGCTCCGAATTTGCACAAAGCCCAAAACCTTTTGGAGGTTCTGGGTTCCAAGTCTGACGAGGGCTGAGATCCTACATAAGGCTCCCTCGTCCCTAAAACCCAGGCCCTAATCCCACAGACCTTGAATCCGTTAGCCTCAAACCCGAGCCCCAACCCCTAGCTCAATATACCCAAAAACCATCTAAAACCCTACTTGACCCACCGATAAAGCTGAAAGCCTTCTCTTTCTGGGTCTTACTCCTCAAACCCGTACCGCTGCAGCCGAAACTAAGCGCTTAAACCTGTAAGCCCGTTAATGCTTCCTCTGAGCCGCAGAAACTCCAAATCCGGTCCTCGAGGCC